ATACCTGGAAAGTACTTGTGGCCTTGTCCCAAATCTGCACACTGCCATAACTTACTAAAGTGAGAGATGGGAGAAAGTGCAAAATGAACCCAGTGAGCAGGGGTGCAGTGGGCACAATAAGGGAACACTGTATTAACGTCTTACCAGAAGACATCAGAAACGCTGCTGGGACAAAGGTAGAGGTCTTCAAGAGGAAACTGGACAGGTATCTTCACCAGGTGCCAGGACGTGTTGGTCAGCGGGCCACCAGCAGCAACAGCCTGGTTGATCAGGCAAGCACCAGACGAGCCTGGCCCAAGGCCGGCTTCTGGGCGTAAAAAAAAAACTCAGAATTTGTCAAAGGCGAAGATGACATTTATTTTGTAAAATAATAGTATATGTAAAATTAAGGCCGTCTGTTTCGGTTTCTTCAACGGTGTGACTGGTAGATCATTCAAAGGGGTTGGTACCTGCTTGCAGGAGTTCCCTTTGAAGGAGTTGGGGGCCCACTGAGCAGCGTTTTGAGAAATGGTCAATCACCCAGCTTAGTGGCAGTGAACAACAACACGGGCACGAGAGGGGTCTCCACCAGCTACAAGTTTCCCACTCAAAAGGCTGGCTGTTCATTTTACCTGGTCCCAGTTTAGACAGTGCTTCTCATGTGCTCCTCCATGGTGTGGTCCTTCCCCATTATCAGTAGGTGACAGTTTTGGGAATGATCTTTGATTGAAGCCTGACACATGCCTTGTATCAAGCTCAAAGTGGATGTTCTGCGGATCCTAAACACTTAAGGTGCTCTCCCACTGCACCCAGTGGGTGGATTGCCCGACAGTGCTCATCTGTAAGCGGCCTTGTGCCATTCTAGGCTGGAATAGTCTGATCTACTACTTAGAACCCCTCAAGGGAGGTTCCTTGATGCTGGTGAGGGGCTCTTGATCTAGGGAATTGGATCTGTGCTCCAGTTCCTTGAATCGAACCTAAATGCCTTCTACCCCCCTACAGGTACTGTATAATCCTACGGGTTTAGCGCTCCCCCATGAATATAATGATAATATTCGTTAGCTATCTCATCTCTGCATGGGTTTATTCCTTACTTCACCTGTTGTGAGCCTTTACATTAAGAATGGTGTAAGATAAGATAAGATTTCGTTCGGATTTTTAACCCCGGAGGGTTAGCCACCCAGGATAACCCAAGAAAGTCAGTGCGTCATCGAGGACTGTCTAACTTATTTCCATTGGGGTCCTTAATCTTGTCCCCCAGGATGCAACCCACACCACCCAGGTACCTATTGCTGCTAGGTGAACAGGACAACAGGTGTAAGGAAACGTGTCGAAATGTTTCCACCCGCCGGGAATCGAACCCGGACCCTCCGTGTGTTAAGCGGGAGCTTTAGCCACCAGGCCTAGGTCTGTGCTGTATGTTTCGTGTTTGGTACACATCTAACAGGCCAGTTTCTGTTGTTCTCTCTGTGAAGGAGAAAGGGGAAGAGGAGCTCTTTGCTTGTGTGAGGGTTCCCGTGTTTGGATGAGAGCTGGTCTTCTGCATTGTGGCCTAGTGTATACAGTCAGACAGTTTTACGACTCGATGACCACGGGTTCAAGCCCCACCCGTGGTATGGCTTGTTTGCAATTGTCACTGATTTCGTGAGTACTGATGAGACAAGTTTAGAAATCTTTAAGAGGAAACTGGACAAGTGCCTCCACCAAGTAACCACTTCCTACGAAAGCGAAAAACTGGGTAGATAGTGCAGTATGTCCCCAATGAAAAGTAGGAGTGCCATTAGTACACTAAGAGAAAATAAGTGTTCGGGTCCCAAGACTGTTCACCAACCTCCCACCAGGCATAACAGGAATTACCATTAGACTCCTGGTTGCCTTCAAGAGGGAGCTGGACAGATACCTAAAATCAGTGCCCAGTCAGCCGGGTTGTGGTTCGTAACAACAGTAACAACCTGATTGATCAGGCCCTGATCCACCGGGAGGTCTGGTCAAGGACCGGGCTGTGGGGGGTCAGTAGGCTGCTAGCAGCAACAGCCTGATTGACAAGCCTGACCCAGGGTTGTGCTCTGGGAGTAGGAAAACTCTCGAAACTCGTCCAAGGTATGATCATATCAAGCCAGTCACAGTATAAACCAGTTTAGGAAGAGAGTTAACAAGTACTTAGTTTTAAGCTACAGGAGGGAGAGAAGCGATTTCTTCTGTAATTAACATTCATACAAGTGTTTATTCATCTGACTTTCTTTTTAATGCTCGTGCTAATAATTTTCACATTTGATTTACTCTTACTTTTATTGCATTTATTTTTTATTGTAATTAGAGATGGGGCAATACTAAGATTTTTGCCAATGCTGCTTCATGTGATAAATTATTACTAACATTTCAAAAAGTTATATACTATGATGGATCTAAGCAGGAGTTTACTGGTGGAACTACATTTGCTGTTTACTCATGACTCGGGTGTTTCTGCCTTAACTTTTTAATAGGATTTTTAACTGATGCCTTGCTCTTATATGTTTGTACTGTGTTGTTCATGTTAGTTTTTTGTTTATTTTTATTATTGTTCTTGTGTTTATTTCTTATTGCCAAGAGCATTATCTACATGGATGAAGTGCTCTAAAGGTATTAAAACTTCCTTTATCCAGAGCTTGCTGGAATGAGTATCTGTGGCTGGTTTCAAGGGTTCTTCTCTCCTTGTAGGTCCCCTTGATTGTTCGATGTTTCAGTGGATTATTATTATAATCAAAAAAGAAGCGCTAAGCCACAAGGACTATACAGCAATGTTTCAGTGGAAATCTCTGGATTTTGTATGAGGCAAAATACAAATCGCCAGCAGATTCACCCTTTTTTCACATGCCTCCTAAGAAAATAGTGAAACTGATGTAAATTCTTAGTTAACCCTTTGACTGTTTCAGGCCCCTCTCTGAAACTGTCATTCTATGTCGCTCAATTTTTGAAAAAAAAAAAATTATTTTTTCTTATGAAATGATAGAGAATCTTTTCCCGATGGTAATGACACCAAAAGTTCGAAAATTGGTCGAAAACTCGTGGAAATATGCTCCCGCGAAGTTAGCGGTCTCGGCGACATATGCGTATCGGCGATTTCGCCGACTTTGAGCCCTATTTTCAGCCAATTCCATTGTTCCAGTTGACCAAACTCATAGCTATTTCTTTAGAACTCCATTTTATCTATCAGCTGAGTACAAGAAACCTCCAATTTACTAATTTGGACTACCCAATATGATGGTCAGAAATTGGCAATTTGGCCAATTTCACGCAAACTAAAAAAGATGCCAATTTCAAAATAGGGTCCAGAATAAACAAGATAGACATTCGTGCACTAAAATAGCATATGCTCTGTTCATTAGTCACATCTCTAGGCCCCTCTTATATTATTATTGCTTTCTATTTTGATTTTTTATTCATACAAAAAAATACAAAATTTACTGTTATGCAGACGACTGCATTATTGTAAAAATGGTATAAATAATATCAGTGCACTAGTGAAAGAATATTAGACTCCCCAGTTGACGTGTATTGGACGTGTGGTGTGATTTATTTACTCTTGAACATTGGTAAAAATCGAACATTTCCGCTACTTGGAGCTCAGTTTCAAGGTCGTTTTCATCGTAAAAGTAATGAAAATCATCTCTATTTCTGTAATATGTTTTCCATTTTATCACCTAAGACCATGAAAACGCGAATACAACGATAAATTACTATACGAAAATACACCTCAAAGTCGGCGTTTTATTCCAAAAAAACGATCAGTTTTTTTTTTCTCATTACGCAATGTGTGCTGCAGGATTTTTTTTTATGTGGTGCACACTGACCACACAGACGCATTCTCTCACATGTGGGCCTACCAGCTTTCTCCCGCTTGATTTGAAGCCCTAGAATTATTGAGTATATATACGTCAGAAACATTGGCTCGTAAGACGTATTTATACGTCGAAAACAGTCAAAGGGTTAAGGTAAATTATATTATGCACGCAGAATTATAAAATAAGGTAGATTAGGTTGCTCTCTTAGTTTTGGTGTAAAATATAAAAAAAAATAAATGCAAAACTAACTGAGCCTTTCTTTGGGAGGTGGGGCAGGGAGGGAACTTTTTAGGTCATCTGTATGTAGATTTAATGGTGAGTCTTTGCTGTAGTTTGCCTGTAGATAATTTGAAGGGAAGCCGATATTTCCTGAAGCCTGGTCCCAGACTAGGCCTTTTTGTTAGACACAAGATTGTAAAACAGCTAACCACTATTCCATGTTTAGTTTTAAGTATAATTATTATATACTATTATCTTATGTAGTTTTAATTAGTTGCTATGTATTGGGATTAGTTTGCCCGAAATGCCTCGGCATGGTAGTGGCTGTCTTTGTACTTAGCAAATCAAAATTGTACATTACACATTGTAACCTTTACAGAGAAATAAGCTTATTATTATTATTATCAGTCAGGTTGTTGCTTACTTTATGCAGTCCAATATAGCAAAACATAGGCATCATAGCCCAGATGATCAGAAACTGACTTGAACTTATGAAAACAGCTGGAGTGAATGTATTTTAAATGCACTGTATCTCTTGTCTGGTGTGTAAGCATAGCGCAATGCATATACACTGTATATACACCTGGGGTTTATCCTTGACTGGTTGTGTATGGGTGAAATGTAGTCTTAATGACACTCTTGTAGTTGTTAGACTTGAAATCTATTTAAGGATAGTAATGTAATGTACTGTATCATGTTAGGAATTATGAAAATTGAAGTTAATGTTCTGGTTCATCCTTGACAATTATAAAGTTAAAAGCAGACTTTTTATAATAGTTCAAGGCAGATGACAACTTTGTAACATTTTAATGTTTATTCTTTCTGAATAGTTCCAACCATTATTCAAATGTGGAAATCTTGAGTGAAATAATGGGTAACTGTTGACTCCCTTTATAGATCTTCTGACTAATGTAAATCTGTACGTATATGTAATTTTGAGTTCACAATGTCTAAAAGTGTATAAATCATTTAATTTTACAGCCATTGACTTCTTCCAACACATCAACCTGTTGTATGGGACTGTGTGTGAGTACTGCACTATGAGTGGGTGTCCTGACATGACTGGACCTGCAACGAGGCAGTATTTGTGGTTTGATGAGAAGGGCAAGAAAACCAGAGTGGCAGCACCCCAGTATGTTGACTATGTCATGACCTTTACACAGAAGACCATCAACGATGAGACTATCTTCCCTACTAAGTTTGGTAACTATTGCCATTTTTTGTACTTTACTGTGTTAAGATTTCGTTCGGATTTTTAACCCCGGAGGGTTAGCCACCCAGGATAACCCAAGAAAGTCAGTGTGTCATCGAGGACTGTAACTTATTTCCATTGGGGTCCTCAATCTTGTCCCCCAGGATGCGACCCACACCAGTCGACTAACACCCAGGTACCTATTTGCTGCTAGGTGAACAGGACAGCAGGTGTAAGGAAACATCTCAAAATGTTTCCACCCGCCGGGAATTGAACCCAGGCCCTCCGTGTGTGAAGCGGGATCTTTAGCCACCAGGCCACCAGGCTGTTACATATATGTATTGGGAAAAATCTGAACCCATAAGGATTGAGACACTAAGAGGCAATTAAAATTAAGGCAGTGCTGTGTTTGGACCCACTTCACTACTGAAGACTTTAGTGTGAGGCTAGAATATGCCTAGGATTGCATGTTGATGAAAAAGTTGGAATTGATATATGACTACAGATGATAGGGGGGGGGGAAGTGATATGCAAGTTAAGTTATAAGTAATGTTTGAAAGAGAAGCTAAATGAGTGTGAATTAAATACTGTATTAAATAAAATATAATTTTCTTTCAGAATTTTAGTTGTGATAAAACCCATGAATATTTGAGTACTGTAGGTATGAGGTAATGAGAAGAAAACCAACTAATTTGCCAGTGAGCAAAAAGTTTTTTCTGTACCAAAATGTTTACCATTCTTTCAAGTTTCATATACATCACTTAGATTGGCAGTTGTGTGTGTTGCTTTTACCCTTCCTTATCCCTTTGAGAATAAAGATAAAAATTTTATTTCTTTGTAAAGGGATGATAGACCATGTGATCGTACCTAAAAACGGTGATTTAGCTCCTGAGAAAATTGAAGTACTCCTCATACCACATTAAAGGTCATTAAATTTGTTTTAAAACAAGACAAGTTTGATCAAAATTGCACTGGTTGGTTACTGAGATATTATGGCAGGCATGTTGCAGAACTTTGTGTGATTTTCTCAAACTTGACATTTAGTGTTGGTCGATTTTCTTCTCGGTGCCTTGTATATGAAATGCCCTTTCAAAAGTTATAAATGAATCTCATGGATTCAAAAAACATACAAATTCTGGATTTTGATTGTATTATGCCAGTTTCTCGATTATTGGCCCATGCAACCAGATTTGGATACTGTGTTTTCTCGTTTTTCTATGTTATCCTAACCTTGAACAGCAGATTAAACATGTTAAAATGTAAATACTGTATAATAATAGGTGACCAGAAATTCCAATAAAAGTACAATGTAACACTACTTGGGTGAGCATTATTAGATAAACTATAAGATTAATTGATGTAAGTACCATTTTAAGAATAAATTTTCTATGAGGTAATTTCTGAAAGTACTGTATGTACTGGTTTCTGAAGAAATGATTCTTAGTGTACTTTTGCCTACAGTGATTTATCAATAAAAATTCGGTAACACCTGTATACAGGTGCTCCTCAACTTAGGATGGTCCAGCTTACTGCAAAAGCAATTAAACTTGAGATAATTACCCCATCATGAAGGTGGCAAGTCCATAACTCGTATTCATTTATTTACTTTTCAATACTGGTATGTATTTAGTTAAAGTAATTATTTATTTACTTATTCAGTGACAGCTATTTATTTACTTATTTAGCAAATACAGTAGGACCCCTGTATCCACGATGGAAATGTTCCAAGGGCCTGTCATGGATACTGAAACCGTGGATAGTAGCAAACCCTATATGCAAGTCCTATACTATACATACCTATTATAAAGTTTAATTGATAAATTATGCACAATAAGTGGAGAATTATCACTTTTTCATGGCTTCTCTTAGGCTTTGAAGAACTGCCAACTTTTCTACCTTTGTGCTTTGAGGCAATTATTATGCAATATTAAGAGGTATTTTTGGGACACAGTAAACCTTGGATAACTAAAACCGTGGATACCAAATCAGTAGGTACGAGGTTCTACTGTATTCAACTTCTACTTAACGTATTTTCGACTTATGAAGCATTTGTGGGAACATAACCCCATCGTAAATCGAGGAGCACCTGTATATACATTTATAAAAATCTTTAATTTCAGTATTCTTTGCTCATATAATGTCCTAAATTTCAGAAAACGACTTTCCTGTTTCTTTCGAGTCTATTGTAAAGAAAATTCACCGGTTGCTGTTCCACGTGCTGGCTCACCTGTATCACAGCCATTTCCGTGAGATGGTGCTGCTTAACCTGCATGCCCATCTTAATTGTATTTTTGCACACTTCATACTCTTCAATGACCGCTTCAGACTCATTGATGAGAAGGAAACCGAAATCTTACATGATCTAGTTGTGGCCCTGAAGCTTCATCCAGAGAGTGAACCATCAACCTCTTGCTCTAGTTCTACAATCACATCTGTTACCACCTCCACCACCACCACTACCATCACTGCCGCTACCACACCACCACCACCACCACCAGTAGTAGTCAAATAGGTCCTGATTGTAGTGCTAGTCCAAACACAAGTAGCAGTAATGCTACTACAACTGCAACACAGAGCACTTTATCATCTGAGGGTGAATGTGGTGATTGTTCCACCTCTCAGGAGCAGCAGTTAATATATCCAGCAGACACCACCATAGTCCGCAACAATAGTAGTAGTGGATTAACACTAGTAGCAGGAGACACAACAACAGGAGACACAGAAGCAGGAGGGTCTGAGCCCCCACTTCTGGATACAGAATCAGTTCCAGACACACGGCCATAGTAATTCCTTGAGCTAGTGAACCAATGTATGAAGGTACCCTGGCCTGGCCCCTGCCTCATGCCCTGCCCATTATGTGGGCACTGGGCACACACTGGTGCAGCACCTTAGCCTTATCCATGTGTGATAGTGTCATCTATGGGTGGTGGAGAGGCTAGGCAGGGGTTCCTAGAAATATGTTGTGTAAATATGTGTTGTAAAGTCCCTAGGTCATAACTATTGCTATACAAATACTATTTATATTTATCCTGCGTTACCACATGAGCACACATTCACCATAAAGTGCATTGTTTTACACCTAGACTTGTGGAGAGCAAGTCAGCCAAGGTGAACACATGACCATCAGCAAGCTTTTCAGTAGATGCAAAATGATTGTCAATTAGAGTTTGGATCCAAACTTTTATTCTTGTGATTTTAGTGGTACAGGTATATAACAAAACAAATATTTTTATTATAAAGTCGGTTTGGTTATTGTCAAGTAAAACACAGTGGTGTTTGGTTCATGTTCAGGTGCTTGGCAGGGAATTATTTCTCAAAACTACATTGATAGGTTTTGTGATATTAAAAGAAAATTTTCAGCCAAGTTTCTATTTTTTTCTTGTGTAAGTAGGCTTCTTAAGTCCTTACTAGTCGACATGTGATGTGTTTCCTGTTAGTTTTCCATATGCAGTACAAACTTCCCCAAGAAATGTTTTAGTTCTATTACTCTACTTTCCTTTGTATTGTTGTTTGAATTTGGTTTACATTGAGAGCACAGAAGCATTTATGTTTTATTAGTTACCAGTACACATACACATTATTATTTCATTTTCAGTGATAAGCACATAATTCCTTTGTATTAAACCATTTCTTAAGTATTAAGAAAGGTTTGATGTACCTTTCTTTATTGAATATGTACTTAATTATAAAGCAAGAAAGGGATTGATCATAAGGAAATTATGCTCATTGAACAAAACCTGCTATTAATTACCTCAGCAAACGTGAAGCATAAGACACTGTACTGGTTAGCTTTAGCAGTTCTAGAAATCATACATATTCTGAGTAACAATTGTATCTTCCCAGATAGATAGATAATTAAAGACAATAGGTCGCTTATCAGAGTTAGTGGCATCTGTTACACTACACCTCCAGATGTGGTCATGTTTGTGTATGGGCCTGTATATTATCCGAGATATTTTGACTAGACTGTTGTAGGAAAGGAGATTGTGATAGTATTTATGCTTCTACAGCAAATGTGTGTGTGTGCGTGCGTGGTAAAAGTGACATAAACATGACCATGGGGCACGGAAGGGAGAAATATGATTTTGTTCTTTCTTGTGTTTAATCAAAGAACAGTATAATTATATTTCACCATGTTTTTCATGGATATCATGAACTGGGATCTCAATAAGAATTGTTTATTTATCTATGCATTTGCAATTACTCTTATGAACTTTACCAATAATTTTATTGAATTAATCTTTATAAAAGTGTGTACCCCTGGAGATAGTGATAACAAGCACAACCTGGTAATCTTTACTGTCCCAGCCTTCCTTTACTTCCCATAACTAAACTGCTCCTAGACCAGGCTGTTGCAGGGAATTTATTTGTCCTAGTGAATTATGTACTGTGTAATTATTTATTTTTTATCTTGTTTGATAGCTTGAGATCAATTCTAATCAAGATAGATCTTACAGGCAAGGATTGCTGGAGTGATATGCTAAATATATTAGAATGTATATGCTGATGTTGTTTGCCTAGTGAAATACTATTATCATTGATGACAGGTATATTCCTTTTATCAGTTTGACTGAGATGTATATAATGCAGAGTTGTTATGGTGATCTTAGTGGTAAGAAGTCACAACCCTGGCTTGAATATTGTGGAGCATTAGGTGTGAGCCCCATTATTAGTGTGCTTTATAAGCCCAGGGCAGCTCACAGTTCTTATGCATCTTGCTATTAAAGACAGCCAGCATATCATATGTTGTGAATCTATCTTTTACAGCTTCCCAGAGCAATGTTTGCAGGAAAAAAAAAAGTGATGTTGCAGATTGTGATAGGTGAGGCAAGTTGTGACGGTGATTTGTGGGGAGCCTAAGGAGGCGGCAACATTAGTGCAGGGGCCACTAAGGCTCACACTCACCATCTTAAGCTTCATCTCGCTAAGCTTTATAACTCAGGATTGGATTTCCCAAAGTTTTTGTTGCCAAAAATGTGGCACTAAATTTGTAAACAAAGAAACTATTTGGCAGTAAAAGTAAGTAGTACTTGCCCCCCTCTGTTAACTACATAGCAAAATCTGTTAATCCCAGATACTGATGCATTCTCTAGACTGTGTTTTTATGATGACCTTTATTGTCTTTCATATACAGTACATAATACAGCTTTTCATTGGAACTGACAACAATTTGTATAATTTGGTCTTGGTGATGAGCCAGCATCAGGTCCACATGCCTTCCTAGACTTTGTCATAGCTACTGATTTTACTGGTAAAAGCATTGTGGCTTTTCATTTTGAGTGAATCAGTGGCATTGTCACAATTGCTATTAGTGGAAGTTGACAAGCATTTTATATTTTTTTCTTTATTCCCTCGTGATATTTACAAAGTGTGTGGAAAATTATGAAATGGGTGATGGTGATGGGTGATGGCCTGGACACTGCAGTCATGTATCCTATAGCTGTGGTAGTTATGGTTGTGTAGCAACGAGAGTTAGGAGAGTCTAAGCTGTCACCCACACCAATAGCAGAGCAAAACTAGTCCTGCCACCCTAGTGAGTGAGCCACTCTTCTCTGCCATGTGTTATATGTCCCACATTATGGCCTCCCCCCACCAACACAACGAGCAGCAGGCATCTATGTGCGTGTGTGTGGCTGCTGCAATCCTCACACATCAGCTTAGTGCACCAGTAAAATTTTAACTATCATACATTTTAACACTGTCTTGAAGGTGTGAAGCCATCTCGGCAAGTCTTCAGAGTTTATTTAGAGGGCATTACTGATTGTTATATTGGTGTAACTATAGACAGCTGGCATTCCATATTTACACATAACTGTTTTCTGTTGCTCCTAGGGCTACAGAGCCTTGTAGTCCTAAGGTTGGTGGGATTGATTATGAAATAGAATTTGATCCTTGAGCTTTAAGGGCAAAGGTGAAATATGGGATTATAGGGTGGGTAGGGGGAGGGTAGAGGGGTGGGGTGGGGGTGAGGGGGAGGCTGATAAGGGTCACGCCTGAAGCACTTGTAGAGAGCGGCGTGTGTCAGTTATTCCTTGTGATACTCTTGATCCTCTATGATCAGCTTAATGAGACAGGAAATGTTTTAAGGAATAATTATTGCAAAAATAATAAAAATAATTTGCACTGAACAGACTTTTAATATCCTGTATATGTATTTTGGTCTTGTGATGTGTATTATGAAAAATGATAATGTGATTCTGTTTAGGTATTTGTATGCTACGAATTCTTCACACAATCTCTTTCCATGAGAGCTCTAGGTGTATTTGTTGGTGTGCGACTGAGAATTTTCCCAGTCAGTGAAGCCCTGAGCAGAGTGTGGAAGTTGAGGCTCATCCCCTTTTAAGAGCCCCAAGAACTGGAGGCAAACACTCTCAAGTACAGGTAAAGTATTATTTTTTAATTTAAAATGTTTTATTAAATTGTAGCACTATAAAGAGGTTTTTATTGCATTTATGGATTTGGAAAAGGCGTATGATAGGGTAAATAGGGAAGGGCAATGTGGCAGATACGTATATGGAATAGGGGGTAGGTTACTGAAAGCAAGTGGAATGAGATTTGTAGGGAGGATAGGAGACTCAGGTTTAGGTATGGCTAGAGGGAGTAGGTGCAAGATTAAGTATTTTATGGGTAAAAAGTTGGTTAGCAAGAGGTTGGATTATAAGTATCTCACAAATGGTATTGTCAATGTTTTTGCATGCAATGTTTGGTAATGAGAAGTGAAGTGCAAAGGTTGTTGTAGTAGTTGGTGGGATTAAAAGATAAATAAATAAACAAGGGGAGTGTCAGAGTATAACTTTGTATGTAATTGAACAAGTTTTTGGGAGGAGTGTTGGAGAGGAATTGCAAGCAGAAGTTGTGAGTGTGATTTGGTAGGAATGATGAGAATGATAGGGAAAATTAGAATCGAAACATGCGAAGCAATTCAAGCATTTGATAGGATAAAATTGTAATGAGAGGCAACACATTAATTTACTATTGAGGAAACTTAAGGCACAGAATAGGCAGCAGAGAGTTTGCATAAATGGGGAGATATCAGAATGGGGGCACGTCACAAGCAGTATTCCTCAGGGGTCAGTGTTGGGCCCATTGTTGTTCACAATTTACGTAAACGACATAGATGAGAGAATAGATAGTGACATAAGCAAATTTGCAGATGACACTAAAATAGGCTGTCCAATTCATTCTAATGAGGACACTAGAGCACTCCAGGATGATTTGAATAGACTGATGCAATGGTCGGAGAAGTGGAAGATGCAGTTTAACCCTTAAACTGTCCAAACGTAGATCTACGTTTTTTCAACATTTGAGAGCAGCGCTGTATAGCCCTTGTGGCTTAGCGCTTCTTTTTGATTATAATAATAATCAACATTTGAGAGTATGTAAAAAAAGTAGATCTTTTTTTTTTACATTTGAAAACTTTCTTCTTTCAACAAACCGGCTGTATCCCACTGAGGCAGGGTGGCCCAAAAAGAAAAACAAAAGTTTCTCTTTTTAAATTTAGTAATATATTTGAAAACATGTAAAAAAAAGTTGATCTACATTTTTTTTATATTTGAAAATGTGTAAAAAAAACGTAGATCTACTTTTGGAGCACTACGTATGTGAACATAGATCTGTTTGGACAGTTTAAGGGTTAATATAGGCAAATGCAAAGTTCTAAATGTTGGACAGGAAAATAACCATGCCACATATAAACTAAATAATGTAGACCTTAACACTATTAATACTACTCATTGCAAAAAGGATTTAGGAGTTCTAGTTAGCAGTAATCTAAAACCAAGACAACAGTGCATTAGTGTTCGCAATAAAGCTAACAGAATCCTTGGTTTCATATCTAGAAGTACATACAAATAATAGAAGTCCTCAGGTTGTTCTTCAACTCTATATATCCTTGGTTAGGCCTCATTTAGATTATGCTGCTCAGTCCTGGTCACCGTATTACAGAATGGATATAAATGCATTGGAAAACATAGAGGAGGATGACAAAGTTGAGCGCATGTATCAGAAATCTTCCCTGTGAGGATAGACTGAGGCCCTGAATCTGCACTCTCTCGAAAGGCGTAGAATTAGGGGGATATGATCGAAGTGTATAAATGGAAAACTGGAATAAATAAAGGGGATGTAAATAGTGTGCTGAAAATTTCTGGCCAAGACTGGTCTCGCAGCAATGGTTTCAAGTTGGAAAAATTCAGATTCAGGAAGGCTATAGGAAAGCACTGGTTTGGTAATAGAGTTGTGGATGAGTGGAATAAACTCCCCAGTACAGTTATAGAGACTAAAACGTTGTGTAGTTTTAAAAATAGGTTAGATAAATACACGAGTGGGTGTGAGTTGGACCTGACTAGCTTGTGCTACTAGGTCCGATTATTATTATTATTATAATCAAAAAGAAGCGCTAAGCCACAAGGGCTATACAGTACTAGGTCCGATGCCGTGCTCCTTCCTTAAGTGGAAGTGACCTGATTAGGTGGGTCATTGGGCTGAACTGGGGAGAGGGGACATGGACCTGCTTTGCGTGGGTCGGTGGGCCTGCTGTGGTGTTTCTTCTTTCTTGTGTTCTTATGAGTGGGTGTGGGTGGGTGTGAAATGGACCTGACTAGCTACTAGGTTGGACACAGTGCTCCTCCCTTAAGTGACGTGTCTGACCTCACTAGGTCAAGGCATCGGCTTAAGCCGGTGGGGAGAATTGGAGCTGCCTCGCATAGACCAGTAGGCCTGCTGCAGTGTTCCTTATTTCTTATGTTCTTATGAGGGCAAATATTCTATTAGTGGGATGGATCTGTGAAGGACCTGCCTAGTATAGGCCAATAGGCCTGCTGCAGTGTTCCTCCTTTCTTGTGTCTGTGGAGACAATGTTATCCATGGAAGCCAAGAGGGAAAAATGTATGAGAGTATAGTCATACCAATGCTCTTATATGGGTGTGAAGCATGGGTGGTGAATGTTGTAAGGAGAAGACTGGAGGCAGTGGAGACGATGTCTGAGGGATGTGTGGTGTGAATGTAATGCCAAGAATCCGTATGTTGGAATTGGGAAGAGGTGCGGGGTTATTAAAAGTATCCAGAGGGCTGAGGATGGGTTGTTGAGGTGGTTTGGACATTTAGAGAGGATGGAGCAAAATAGGATGACTTTGAGGGTGTATAACTCTGTAGTGGAGGGAAAACTGTTGGTGTGAGCAGGGTAACTTTGAAGAAAGGATTCAGGGAAACCAGTTAGCTGGACTTGAGTCCTGGAGTGAGGAAGCACAGTGCCTGCACTCTGAAGGAGGGGTAGGGATAGTTGCAGTTTGGAGGGGCATCAGTACTGTAGCATCGGCATACCTCTGGCAGGATGGAGTGAGTGATGGTGAAAGTGTTTCTCCTTCAGTTCACCCTACCTTTGTGGGAGACGACCAGTGTTAAAAACAATTATTTTTACACGTTCTTTATTTCTTTCTTGCTGCATGCAACAAGAGAGAAAAGTAAGAGGTGAAAAATGGTTGAAACACTAAATGTCATCGTCACCTGTTAATACAACGTTTCCACACTTTATTGCACACTGATGTGTAGATTGAGGTGGATGGTGGCAAGTTGTGCCTAGTGGGAATGTGGGATGGCAGGATGTGTGATAACTTGTGGAAGACTACAGTGTGTGATTGATAATATGAATGGTTGCAGAGTATGGTTACATGTGTGGAGGGTTATAGCATATGGTGGCATGTTGTCATCATCATCATCAGGAATGTTGTGGAGGGTGGCAATGTGTGGAAGCAAATTATGGGGAAGGGAGTGATGTGTACTTGCATAATTATGGTTGCAGGGTTGAGTCTCGGCTCCTGGTCAAGTTTAAATACTTGTAAAATTTTTTGTTAATATTACATAAAAAAAATTTCAGGAGTGTTTTATCATTAAGTATTGCATATCTTCCTAAAATGAATTCTATAAATTCTTATAAAATGTTTAATATTCAAGATAATTCAATTGATGATGTGAAGAAAATGACAAGGTAAGCAAATGAACCTGGTAAGTTTTTCTGATCAAGATGATGATTGAATATGTTTGTTACTGATGTGCTTAAAATAGGCAAGACAGTGAATGAGTAACAGTGAAGGCATTTTCTTGGTTGGGTTGCCCTACCTCAGTGGGAGATGGCTGGACTGTTAAAAAACAATCTTATTTAACATGATATTTTAAACATAATTCAATGGAATTGAGTGTAGGGGCCATTATGCCAAATCCATTTACCATGGAACGTCATGCTATGATTGTAACATGTGCAGGGAACGACTTTTTCACATCTTTCAATCATGCCATTGTAATTTCTTTGCAATGGGATAAGGACATTGTAGACATCTTGTAAGATCCCACTACTGTGGCAGCAGTGAATAAGAGGAAGAAAGGAAGAAGTGAAAAGAAAGGATGACTGTGGCCACCATTAAAGCAGGGATGAGTTGGTTTAAACTTTGCCCTTATCAGTTAAAATGGGAAAGGAAGAAAGAAGAGAAAAAGGGAAGAGAGAAGGATGACTAAGGCTGGGGTGAGTATAGATATTTACCCATAGTCTGACCCCAGTTGTTCTTTTTTCTGTATCCCTTTCTCCTTTAATGTTTAAGGACAAAATTTATTTTAATTTCTTCTTCCTTCCCATATTAAGCAACATGTTATTTCTAACAGTTTTTAAATTATCTTTCTAAGTGAGTTTAAAGTTTAATTTTTTTTTAATTTCTAGTAGTACAATATTGACAATGTTTTTCTCAAACCTTTTTTGTCACAAAATAAATTTTGTGGAGAAATTAGATTTGTATGACCATTTAATTACTGTTCCAGTTTTTTTTTTTCCAACAAACTGGCAGTATCCCACCAAGGCAGGGTAGCCCAAAAAGAAAAATGAAAGTTACTCTTTTTAAATTTAGTAATTTATACAGGAGAAGGGGTTACTAGGCCCTTGCTCCTGGCATTTTAGTCTCCTCTTACAACACGCATGGCTTACAGAGGAAGAATTCTGTTCCACTTCCCCATGGAGATAAGAGGAAATAAACAAGAACAAGAACTAGGAAGAAAATAGCAGAAAACCCAGAGGGGTGTGTATATATATGCTTGTACATGTATGTGTAGTGTGACCTAAGTGTAATTAGAAGTAGCAAGACGTACC